GGAAAGCAACAAAGGTTTAACACTGGTATATCTTTTCACCTCTTAAAATGGTCTTGTGATAAAAAAAAGTTCAATAATTACATATAGACATAACTTTTAGAAGAGTTGCGTCACAAGATTACTTTAATATATTTTTATATAATAAAAAATACGGACATAACAAACAGTATTCAAGCTCAAAAGTTTATAAAACAATACAAAATAGGAGCGGAGCAAACACGGACCTTCAAAACATCAGAGGTGGGATCAGGTGCCATGGAAAAGTAATGTAAGCTTCCTCAGCACCCTGTCAAATGCCAGTCAGCTTACAGTGTTTCCATCCCGTGTAAAATCAATTAAAAATTTTTACGAGAAAACATATCCTGAAAATTTGATATAATGTTCCTTGGAATTTACAGCGTATTATCTGCAATTTTTATGAAATTTGCCTACGTAGTTTTAATGCTATACTACTTGAAACGCGGTATCGTTGTTAGTACTTTTTTACGCTTTACTATTGAAATGTATGGGAAAATGACATTTTTAAGACAATTTTGTGAAAATAGTTTCTTTTAAAAAGGTTGGATAACTTTTTAAAAACGTAGGCGAATTAGTCAGGGATTTCAAAATGTCAAGATGAGGTAAAATTAAAACTATTGATATAAAAAAAATTAATATGTCTTATCGCTAGATTTTTCGCTATATACATGTAATTTCAAAATTTGTTTTTATATTGCTAAAATGTTGCGTTTATGGCGTTATTTATGTCTACAACGTCATTTGTTGAACGCAGTTCACGTTTAATGTACGAGTATAAATATCTTGACATGAGAGAGCTTTAGAAGGTGACATAAATGCAAATTTTAATTTTATTCATCATTTAACTTATTGCGGAGAGCTACTAGGAAGAGCAGCAACTTACTAGTCTTTTCACTAGTATTGTGAAATTCATATTCTGATCACAAGTCAGAATGAATGGTATAAACATTCTTCGTGCATGAGAATTAAAATGCAGCGACAACAGCGCGACTGATGAAATATTAGTTTCTGTATTTTTAGTAAATTCATGGTCAATAGGATTTCAGGCATAACACATAAATTTGATCACTGTATTCGACCGTGACGAAAAAACATCCAGAAACTGGGGAAATTAGCAGGGGGGGGGGGTACTTGCAATGTTCTTCTATATTAGTCGCAAGCCAGTATATGGGCCTAACTCTCAAACATTTGTTAATTTCGAATTCTCTTATTCAAATTTCCATGCGCAAAATGTAAAGCACTTGCATTTAGCTTTTACACTTAGAGCTTTTGTTTTAATTTTTTCTAAATATAGAAAAAAAAAAATACTTGTGAATTGTTACAGTGTCATATAGATCTTATGGTCCAGGTGTTAAAATAAATTTGTGAAATACATGATAACCAAATAATAAAAATGATGATGATAATAATGAAAAAAAAAACAACAAGAAAATACATATTATTAAATCTAACGCGTTTGTAGTGTTGAGGATTGATTCCATCCTGAAATAATACGCATATTTTCGCCCCGGCTTTGATTGCCAATCGTGCTGCAGTACGTATGTTCCCCTGATTTGCAAATAACGTGCGAAAATACAACCTCTCATGCAAGTTTACGCTAAACAATTTTTATTTATGATAACTTTTTTCTGCATACCGTAACTTTATGCTGACTTATTCTGATTGACTTTTAGCAGTTTGGTAACACTTACAATATAAATCATTCCTTTCATTTGGTATTTTATTTAATTTGTCTTAAGACATTACTTATAATTACATCAGAACTCAGACTGAAATTCAATTATAAAACATGTACGAGGTTTGCGTACAATAGCATGCACAATCTACTTGATTCGTACAGTCATTTGCAGAGAATAAAACGGGAAACAACGCAACGTTGCCTTTGTGACGTAACTGACGTCATAATCAAATGTGCACAAAACAGCCGCACGAATTGTCGAAATTGTGTACCAAAATTGATGACAAAAGCAAACCCGCGACCTACCTTAAGGTCAAGATCTAGTAAATAACTTGAGACTAATTTTTTGGTGCTAGATCCATTATGACGTCATAATCAATTTCAACTTTCTTTTTCCCGTACTTTACGGCTTTAGCAGAATTATGTAGAAAACAGGGTATTTCCATGTCATTCAATTTGAAATCGTATGAAAAGTAAACCGGATACCTATATTAAATTTGATATTGATTTACAAAAGAGGCCATGAACATACTAATTACCGTTTTCTGAAAGACTGTAGGCAATCTGGATACATTTTCTTTGCCGAATACGAAAAAAACTCCCATTTTCATGACTGGTTTTCTTGATTTTCATTAAAAATGACATTTTGAAATACAGTTTTTCATCTTGTTTATCTACAAATTATGCCCCGAAACACCTTATTTGACCAAGCTAAAGTTGCAAAGCATCAATAAAGGAATTTATTTCTCAAGTTTGATAAATCTGTAGGCACCTTTCATTTACTAGATCTTGACCTTAACATCTCTGGCCTAATAAAATGTAGTGGATTGCGGTGTCATTGCGGTGGAGAAATTATACGCTACTTAATTTGTATTAGTTTACATTATTTTCTCATACCTAAGTCCTAGTAATTTACAGTCAGTGATGTTGATGACGTAATAAGATCTGATCGTTCTGATCATTGTGCTGAAACTGACGTTCGCTGCTCGTATATATAACCTTCTATAATGGTCACGTGATCACAACAACCAATGAATAATTGTCCTTTCTGGAGCAACTCAGAACTACTTTACATACATATTGTGTAATACAAAGAAAATAACATCGCTCAAAAATTCCTTTCTACATGTAAAGTAGGAGCTATAAATTCTATTCGATATACACAATAAAATAAGTTCAACAAACAATTAAGGAATAACTGTTTTATTTTTCGAATTCATGAAGTGATCAATGGATTGGCTTGTGTGATAATTTGCATAAACGCCGAAGGCGTTTATGCATAAAATTATCACACAAGCCAATCCATTGATCATCTTCATGAATTCGAAAAATCTGACAGTTATTCCTTATATTTACATGCTTTGATTCCGCCAATCCACGGGCTCCAAGCCTGCTTCTCTCTAGGTGTTGTCCCGCCCTGCACGTGGGTTTTTTTGGAACCGCGCCAAGACATTCATGAGGAAATAAATTACATTTACAATTGGTAATTTTATCTCGGACAAAGACATTGGAAATGTAAATATTCTGTAATAAAACGGACACACACAATCCATGGCGTAGTAATACCGAACAATAATGCATACACATAAGTCTTACGCTACACATTCAAGTTCCAAAACATTTCGTCAAATAAAACATAATAAAATGACAATACTGCAATAAAATAACATTTAAGTATCAATTATAAATATTTGATGACACGGACAGTGTTATTTCGATCTTATCAATTGTAAAACGACAATGTTTATGTCACATGACTATTTTCTTCGTAAGAAAGATGGCAGGCGCCCAATTTACAACACATGTGATAATGCTGAAATAAGTAAGTAAATTACGGTCGTAATATGGTAGATAATGATGAAAAACTGACATATAACATCTTAGTATCACTGTCCCTTACTGTCTGTTCAACAATGTTTCGCTAGATCGTCTAGTAATACAAAAACAGCAATTGTTTACATAACAATGTCGAAGTGCAATGTGTATATATTGCATCAATAATTCAAGTAAACAATAAGATAATGAAATAACATGAACAATAAAATATTTCTAATAATTTACAACTGGATGCTACTTTACATCACCAAAAAACACTCTACCATCAGCCTGTGATTAATATGCAATATTCTTAATTCCAACCCCCATGCATATAACAGTAAGCACCCCCTGAACACCCGCCGTGTGATCCTTTCCATGATCGAGAAATGACTGAAAAATTCGTCGACAATTCAGAGTATGTGTAATGGCCTAACAATAAGTATAAAAAACGTCAGTCAGCATTTGACTTAATGATATATATAAACATATCTAGACAGTTATTGGTAGATCATGTGATGGTTAAATGAATCTCAAAAATATATTTCTTACTTTTTAGGTAAAGAATATTTATTTAGAAAAAATCACCCTATTTGCAAAAAATAATCTCAAAAAGAATTAGAAATATCTTTTTAAACGTAAGTTGATCTTTAATTTTTAAAAGTAATTCTATGCATTTAAGTTAACGACTTGTCATTTTTTAATATATGCCTAGTAAGTATGTTTCATATTTTAAGAAAATATTATTAAGAACATTTTTTTTCATGCAGCCATTTAAAAAAATTAAATATATAACTTTTTACTTGTACTCATTAGGGAGCAATTTTTTTTTTATAGAACATATTCTTTGAATAAACAATCAGCAACTTCTGTAGAGATTTTCCTGTAAACTATAAAATTTAAGCGTAAGGTTTTCAGCTCGAGGGTTACCATGTCTTCAGTACAATACGGACTTCCCCTTGATATATTTTTTTTTACATTTCCAATGTCTTTGTCCGAGATAAAATTACAAATACTAAGTGAATGTACATGTACTTTATTTCTACATAAATGTACTAATTCATCGGTAGGCACGGTTAAGAAAAAAAAATCACGTGCGGGGCGGGACAAATGTAGAGACAGAAGCGGGGTTTAGAGCAAGTGGGTTTGCGGAATCAAGAGCATGTATAAATATAAGGAATAACTGTCAGACTTTTTTATATTCCATGATGACGATCAATCGATTGGCTTGCGTGATAATTTTATCACACAAGCCAATCGATTGATCAAGTCATGAAACCAAAAAATTAAACAGCTCCTTAACTATATACTATATATGGAAGCTACTGTTTCAATAATCAACTAAATAATAAAAATCAAAACATATAAACAAACAACAAACTATACAATTTCTTCAGGTAACGGGGGGCATATCCAAGCTGGAGGAAACAACTTTCCTCTATAAGAGGATGGAAGGACTCCTGGGAGGAAGGAATGCGTGGAGTAGAATTTGTTCATGGTCATATGTTGAAGAGGAAAGGAGTAGTTTCACGAGACCTAATCCACGTTTCAAACTGGTTGCCCACACTTGCACATGTCGATGGTTGATGGTAATCCAAAAGGAACACAACCATTGGATGGAGTAGATCAATGGAGAATGGAGTTCCTTGTGAAACAACAAACGTAAAAGGATAATTATATGGACTCGAATAGCAATCTTGGGATGAGAATAATGCTTTTGGTATGTTTTAATGGCCAAAAGTTAAAAAGGAAAATCGTAAAATTTAACAAACTAAAAATAATTTTACGATCATTCAATTTAAACAGATAAAAGTAAGCTCCAAGCTTCAAACGAAGGTCAGAACATGTCTTAGTCATTGTAAAAGTGAAGATAACGAGTAGTCATCGACCTAAAACAAAATCTATAAATAACAAGTGCGTGAAGAGGGCTTAAACGCGTACCTCTAGTAATTCCAGAGGTGGGATCAGGTACCTGGAGAAAAACTCACCTGTTGACTGGTCACACCAACCATGAGCACAAGCTAATGTTCAAGGATACATTGCATGAAAAAATCTAGTATAAAAGCTAAAGCTTAACATAAAACCAAAATACTACCCAATGATAGGTTATATTTGCAAATAAGGTCATCAGAGTTGGGATCAGGTGCTATGGAAGGGTAAGCATCTCCTTCTCGCTGTGTGTTCTTTGTGATCGAAAATTAACAAAAAAACATCGATAATTGAGTGTAAAAATGGCCTAACAATAAGTGTATAAAAACGTTGGTCAGTATTTGACTTATATTTGATATAACAAAATCATTCTGCAATTAAAACAACCCAAAATTTTGTTTTCTGAAGACTTTCAAGTGGATGCAATTCCACTTTTTGCATGTCTCACAGTTGATTTCTTTCTTTTCACTACCTTTAATTTCTTGGATGAACAACAAGAAATTCGAAAGTATTTCATACCAACTGTAAATGCATAACAAAAATTTTGCAAATTTATAAACCTAATTGTAAAGAAAGAAAAAAAAAAACTCAATTACACTCGTCCTTCAGTCAAGTTGGTTTCATGTATTTCTGAGATATTGGAAGAAGCTTTTTTTTTTTTTTTTTTTTTTTTAAATTATATTTTTTATTTAGTAAGAAATAAATTATTTAGGCTTGCATGTTATTTCTATGTACTTTTTATACACGAATGAAAGTTACAACACAGCATTAACACCATGTATATCCCAACATGCGGGGTGTATGCTATGTTGTGCGCGGGGTGTATGCTTCCGAAGCGAGAGAAAGGGGGTCAATGTACGTTCTTTGTACATTTTCTCAACTTACGGATATTTTTCGCCAGAAAGCATATGCCTACGGAAGAAAGCATTATCTAAGGAGTATATGGATACCTGTGATTCCACTGGACACCTTCTAGTTTTATCAAACACCTCAACACAATTCCGAGGATCGGAGCAAGATTGACGCAACACTGTGTTTATGATCGAATATCAGAACAAAGCTTTGCTTTATCGTCATTTTTATATTATTGCTAAATACATGTTTACAATATAAACGTTTGTACAAATTGTCTGTAAATAAAACAGTTCGTATATAAAGATATTGACGAAAAATCAATGTTGTGTCCGGGGTGTATGCAACATGTTGTACGCGGGGTGTATACACCCCATATTTTTCTTAGGATTGTTGTGCGAAGTATTAATGGAAATTTTATTTACACAGGTTTAAATGCGACAAATAGTATTGATAAAAGACTAAAATAAAAACACTACATGAATGGTGTATTATGAATAAATCTTTTTATTTTTGTTTCTGCAACATTTATGTTATCAATACAGGTATTTTTAAGCATTTATGACAGTGATGTAGAATCTTTTTTGAAGGGGGGATACCCGGAAAAAAAAACCTTGAGATAAGTGGACTAGCTATAAAAAAAGGGGGGAGGGCTTATCTAACTCAAAACTCCTAGATCAGATGGGGTTGTAGGTCCCGTCTTTTTTCAGTACCAGTTCTCTCTTTGTTTTTTACTTAAACATAAAGCATAACCATTGTCATGCTATGCTGCAACAAAAAATAGGGGACAACCTGACTTTCGATGAACATTTTCTGTAGTGAAAAGTTGTGTTTGGAACAAAAAAAGGGAGGGGGGGTGATATTACGTGTCTGTATGATATATTAATTTTCCTTTCAATTTTTGCAATATTTGGACTCATTTTTCCTTATCTGATAAGATTTCGTATTTTACAAATTACAATAAACATATAAAGCCGGCTATAAAACTGCTCATTTGTAATAAGGGACGACAATTTTCTGAGGGCATGCACAATTGAAAAAAAAACTGTTTTTGGTACAATTACAATTTCACGTTGACGTGTAATTAATATCAATGAATGTCCACTCCTCCTTTATTTTATTATTGTATATACACGTAGTAGAGATACCCCCCCCCCCCAAAAAAAAAATGACCTAAGACACAAAAACACCCTTCTCGAGCCCATTCCTAGAAAATATGTACTCAGTACAATATAATGCCTCAATATTATACAAATAGTTTACTGCCAAATATGGGCTTATGGGGCCAAAGTACACAACGTAAACTATTACGTATTACTATTGTACGCATACTACATGAAGGAGAACATTTTTTTTTTTTGTTGATGACATTACAAAAATCTTAATATTTTAAAACTCGTTTAAAAAATATTGAAAAAAAGTTAATTATGAGGAAATGTTAAATGTTCAAAATGATGCATTTGTGAAGCATTTATTAAGGAAGGATCTGAATAAGGTGCCTTTAAATCGAAAGAAGGGATGAACTGTTGGTTATCACATTAAACAGTTAAACAAAGTACCCTGAACATTTACTTCCATGTGCACGTAAAGCCAAAAGTACGATGAACGTATTATTTCCAGTAAATCTAATTTATGAACCTGAAGTTCTGCTATTACAAAACTGGTGAATAATTAAAAAAAAAAAATAGAAATTTTATCACAAAAGTCAGTTGTTATGAATTTTTTTAATGACATTTCAGACAATGATACTATAGAGTAAAAAGAGGGGTATACATCCCGCGCACAACATGTTGCATACACCCCGGACACAACATTGATTTTTCGTCAATATCTTTATATACGAACTGTTTTATTTGCAGACAATTTGTACAAACGTTTATATTGTAAACATGTATTTAACAATAATATAAAAATGACGATAAAGCAAAGCTTTGTTCTGATATTCGATCATAAACACAGTGTTGCGTCAATCTTGCTCCGATCCTCGGAATTGTGTTGAGGTATTTGATAAAACTAGAAGGTGTCCAGTGGAATCAAAGGTATCCATATATTCCTTAGATAATGCTTTCTTCCGTAGGCATATGCTTTCTGGCGAAAAATATCCGTAAGTTGAGAAAATGTACAAAGAACGTACATTGACCCCCTTTCTCTCGCTTCGGAAGCATACACCCCGCGCACAACATAGTATACACCCCGCATGTTGGGATATACATGGTGATTAAAAAGAGTGACAATTTCTTACTTTTTTTCTTTCTAAAATTCAGTTTTTTTTATCAACACGTACGAAATGACTTCAAGTTTTGTTTTGCCCACAACCACAAAGGGGCAAAAAATTTAAAACCTTACAAGTACTTCATGTGTTAATCAAGAAACATCATATGACAGTCATGTGATACATTGCAAACCAACAATAACATCCTATAAAATAGTGTTCTTCTTAACACATTTCTTCAGATATCGATTGGACAAGCATCAATGCAAGTATAAATAGGATAAATATGAAAACATTACTAAGTGCAGGCATACTTCTAGCAGTGTTAGCGTGCTTTATTAAAGGCCAAGCTACAAAACCGCATATTTTGCTTGTGATAGCAGATGATTTTGGTTACAACGACATCGGGTATCATGGCTCGGAGATTAAAACTCCGAATTTGGATAAACTTGCTGGGGAGGGGATCAAACTGGAGAATTATTACGTGCAGCCAATCTGTACGCCTACCAGAAGTCAACTAATGTCTGGACGTTATCAGGTATATGTGGGTCCTATATTATAAATAGATCTGTGGATTGTTAAATTTTGCAAATAAACCCCGAAACGCTTGCACCAAACTTCATACTTTCTCCATTAGTGATATACATTAAGTATATTTAAACTAGTAATTATTGTAAATTTAATTAAATTAAACAATGTTAAAAGTTTTACTTTCATTTTCGCCAAACAGCCTAAATATTAACAACCCAATAACGCCAGTAGGGTGGTGGTTCCGGTTTGCGGATCCAAGTTACAGACATTTTAACTGAGACTGAAAAAAAGATTTCAATTGATTGCATGTTGTTTAACGTCCCTCTTGAGAATCTTTCACTCATATGTACGCCACCACTTGCCGGTGGAAAGCTGCAAATTTTATCCTATACTCGGCACTCAAGGTCATTGAACAGGGAGGAATTTTCGTGCCAGCACCTACTGCGATACAGGAACTCGGTTTATACGGTTTCATCCTAAGGACCGGTCTCCACGTCCCGGGATTCTAATGGCGACCTAAGGATCAAATCCTTTCTTCTCGACTCTAGAGCAGACGCTCTAACCACTGCTCCACGCGGGCGACACTGACAAAAAGCAAGCAAGGTTTAAACATTTTCTCAAAACATCACTAATGAATTATTTATTCAAATGTCGAGACTGACCTAAGTCGATATAAAAAGGATGACGTCTAATAAATGAGTGAAAAATTCTGTCATGGGACGTAAAATAACATACAATCAATCAATTTCTCTTGATTGAATGTCTAGAAACAGAAAAACAGAAAAACAATCCAGTCGGGAGCATGACAACAGTGGAAAAACTATTGATAACAATATGAGCTAAGAATATATATTTAATAAATTAACATAGAAAACATGCATTTTTACCCCTGAAATCATCACGACAACGAACTCAAATTATAATTTTATAAAGAAATAAACATGCTTAAAGAATACTTCAGTTATTTATTTAAATATTGCAAGTGCCTTAGTTTTTTATATATACTAGTATATATAATTTTTTTCCCCTAGTAGTAGTCTTTAACGTATAAGCAGATACCTTTTAGGCCTTATACATATGAAGTGAAAAGCAAAATAATTTTTTTTCTTAAAAAATGTAGACAAATACTATTCCTTCTTTTATCCAATAACTAAGTCGATTAAAACTTAAGATACTTTTTGGTATGATTTTGTCAGCAGTGAAAAAGAAATATATTTTCGCCCACGCTTGCGGCTTGCGCGGAATTTCAACTAGTACTCATAAAAAATCGGTCAATAAATGTATACTAGTAGAACATGTGCAAGTTTGTTTTCAAAATGTTTGAAGACAAAACTTTATTAAAACTGACTTTGAACTCGTCATAATTAATCTGAGAACAGCACTTAAATTTAAGTTGCTGTCAAAGTGGTTTAGTAGAAATTTACAGGGACGTAGCATCCGGGGGGGGGGGCATAATAATGCCCCCCCCCCCCCCCCCCCCCCCCACAAAAAAAAAAATTTTTTTTTTTTTTTTTTTTTTTTTTTTTTTCGTTTTTTTTTTTTTTGGCCCCCCCCCCACTTTCAAAAACGATGCTACGTGCCTGACTTATTAGAGAGGTTATTGGCTTATAATGATAATGAATAAGAGGACGATGTACTTACGTCACAGATTTTTCTATGACTATGTTATATTTTACCGAAAGATGGTATTATCCTTGAGTTAAATGGCTAATTTTTTAACCGTATAAATAGTTTTGACCGGATAATCTGTTTTAAACGTACTGAAAATTGCCATATCTAACGTATATGTAATTTGAAAAAAAACTACTGAGTATATATATAGACCCATATGAGTACAACGAAATAAAGCATTTTATACAATGTATGATAATGCCTTAATATTTTTATTAAAGATACATACTGGCCTTCAGCATGGAGTGATCCGTCCTCCCCAACCTAACGGTTTACCCCTAGACAGCCCGATACTACCAGAAAAGCTCAAAGAAGCCGGGTATGCAACTCACGCGGTGGGGAAATGGCATCTGGGATTTTATAAAAAGGAATATCTCCCGACAATTGAGAATATCCATTTCCCAGTTTTTTTTAAAAATTCGAGCTGTACATAATTTGCACAAAGATTTTTGTAAAGGTTTGGCTTTTTATGCCCCAAAATTAACGTACATGTATTATTGTTCTAAATTTGCTAGAACAGGAATGAATTATACAAATTAAATAAATCACGAAAGGAAACGGCATAAAGGAGGACCATTTTGGTAAACTTATGTCATTAAAAAAAAAAAATACAGGGCCATCATTTTAAAACCAAATCGTGTTCTTTGTAACCGGACAGGCGCGGATCCAGAAATGTTTTCCGGGGGGGGGGGGGGGGGCACCCCAATCCAAAATAAAAATCCAACCCAGAAATTTCTTGACAAGCAAAAAAAAAAACAAACAAACAAACAAACAAACAAACTCGCCATAACTTCAATCTATTTCGTGGTGGTGGTGGTGGCGATGTGTGTGTGTGTGGGGGGGGGGGGGGGTAGTCGATGACTTGTACTGCTTCAGACCTTTGACTTTTCATACCAATCTAACACAAATTCCCGTTTACATGGGGGGGGGGGGGTCTGCGCTTTTCAAGGGGGTCCAAGGTAACTTTTTTTCTTGCTTTAGTATATAAATTTAATAACCTTGCAAATTCCAGGGGGACCCCTCCCTCTAGATCCGCGCATGCAGGGATATAGACTACCGCAACATTTGGTGTAAGACTATTAACCTCTTAGATAATAAAGTAATGTAATGTCATTTCAGCCCCAATTTTATTTACTATAATAGGGTACCTGTCAGGGGCCGAGGACTACTTCACACACGAGCGATGTTTTGGGAAAATGTGTGGTACAGATTTACACGATAATACAAACCCAGCTAGCTATTCCGGACAGTACTCGGCTCAATTATTTTCTCACAGAGCAGCCGATGTTGTCAAAAATCACAATACAAATCAGGTACTTTTAAAATAATTTAACTAATGTCTTTTAATTGATTATATTATCCAGTTGATATATGTAGTCTTTCACAAAAGCTGTGGAGGTATAAATAACGTCAAATTTTATGAAACAACTTGCCCTTCGAAGACGGATCTATTCAAATTATTAGTTTCCATGTCATTAGAGTACCATAGAAAAAAATCATTATTTTTCATTTTGACTACACAAAAAGGTATATATATTATGACGGAGTTGTCTTTAGTATGTGTTTCGTAATGTAGCTTGAGCATTATAGTGATTTTGTATTTGCAATTAACATGTACTTAAAAAAAATAATTGATTAATTTGTTTGGTATTCTGAAATTAAAGTGAATTATCAAATGCTATTTTCACAAATAATATAGAATAAAAATGAAAAATGAATTTTTTTTCATTAGATCAACACCTTTGTTTACCATTAACAAATATTGTTATTATACGTGTATTTCTTGTCATGTGTTTAGAATACAATAAAAGTCCCCTTTAATTTACAGCCTCTTTTCCTGTATCTCCCATTCCAATCCGTTCATGCCCCGCTACAAGTACCAGAGCAATACACAAAGCCCTACATGCATATAAAGGACGTACAAAGAAGAACATATGCCGGTAACAATTACCAGTATTATTATTAATTAATAGACTAAGTATGTTTCAAGCCAATTTTTATTACGATAATATACACCAAAATCAAGGACAGTTAAATACAATTGAATTCAAGCCAATTTAATTATTTCGAGAATTTACACAAAATTCACAGACAAATTTTTTAAACATGTTTAGACAGTTCTTTCGATCGCATAAACCAAATTCTTTTACAAATTAGATACATTCTCTCTCGAATGCCTGGCGTTGTCGAATTATTTCCCCTAAAATTGTATAAGTTTTGTATCTTTATGTAAAAAAGGATGAAATTACAAATCTATACTTGCATTTTAACGTTAAGTGATAAAATGAAAATTACAATGTTCAGGAATAAATTACACTGTAAATTTTGAAAGATTTCATATTTGAAATCAAAATTAATTTAAGCTTTTGAATATAAAACACGAACTTTATCAGTAATAGAGAGAGGTGTAAAGAGAGAGAGAAAGTTCAATTTTTCTTTCTTAACATTGTAAAATTTTAGGTATGGTGTCTGTTATGGACGAGGCTGTAGGAAACCTTACGGAGGTTCTGAAACAGAAAGGGATGTGGGATAATACTCTAATGGTGTTTTCAACAGGTAAACTATTGGTTAATATAGCACTGTTTTAGAAGTTTTTATTGAAGTTTTACCATCTACATTTTAAAAAAACTTAAGATAATCTGTATAATAAGCTTTGGTCAGAGTTGGACACACAGTGAAAAAGAATGTTATGAAATGTTAGAGATCGTCAGTGGATTTCCACAAAAACAATTTTTTTGGTTAGTTTTTCGAACATATAAATTACGTTCTGAACAAAACAATAACAGGAAATTAACCTACCTTTTGTATACTTGTAAGTCATGAAGGAGTAACAGCTACGTTGGAATGAACCGTCTTAATTAATTATGCCTGATCAGTCATCTAAAAAAAAAAAATAAGGACAGCTGCAACACTGGGATTATTACAACATACAACAACGTCGAATCTGTATGGAATTGAATAGAAAATTTAATGTTGAAGAAATAAATCTTTATTTTTCCCATAAAAAAATTCTTCAGCTTTTTAAAATTCAAATTTTTAAAGAATTCCAATGGCAAAGAAATGTATGAGTGTATAAACTGTTTCTGAAACCGAAGGGCACATCTGCAGAACATGCTTAATTGTAAGCAGAGATAACAAATTTCTTTAAAACATAAATGAAGAGAAAAATGAAAAGAAAAACTTACTTAAAGGTTTTACCTTTCAGGTCAATGAAATCTCTTAGATAATATGAAATTTTCACATTTTTTGTTGTATTTTACAGATAATGGGGGACAAATTCATGCAGGAGGGAATAACTATCCCCTGAGAGGATGGAAAAACTCTCTCTGGGAAGGAGGTGTTCATGGAGTAGGGTTTGTTCATGGTCAGATGTTGAAGAGGAAAGGAATCGTTTCACGAGACCTAATCCACGTCTCAGACTGGTTTCCCACACTTGTGTCAATGGTCGGCGGTAATCTAAATGGAACAAAACCATTGGATGGAGTAGATCAATGGAGAACCATAAAGTACAAACTATCAATAAAATACCGAATTTATCGAAATTTAAGAATACGAAGAAAAATGCTATTCGTATAATTCATGTCTTGTAGCGATGGTTCAACGCCCAGTCAAAGGAAATCAATATTACACAACATAGAACCACTTTACCCACCAGTGGGCCAAAGGCTTCTTCAAGCCCATTTGACAATAGAATACGGGCGGCTGTTCGAATGGGAGACTGGAAGCTCGTCACGGGTTTTCCTGGTGGGTATAACATAAGATTTTGCAAAAATTTCAATCGCAAGAGTTTCCCCCTGTTTATACTTTCAAAATGTAACCTATTGACACTTGTGGAAAAGGTTAAAGCATCTAATAACTGAAACAATGGTACAATTTTAATGAAAATGTAAGCCATAAAAACTGGAAGGAAACGTTTTGATTATGTTAATTTTTATAATAACCCTTATTGAGGATTCCAAATTCTTTTTGAAGGGTACATGTATACTGCAATCTTAACCGACAACAAAATGTTTTACGAAATGCAAGTTGTAATTTTGATATGTGATGAACTATGACTTTCAGCATAAGCCAAAATCATGGTAGTAACTACTTATGATATAAAATCTGCTAATGATGTAGCATTAAATGAATTACTTTGAATATTGTTTTATTCCAATTAAAAGTTAAAAAATTATCATCCCTAAACAAAATTGAATCATTTGTGGATATTGCACCATGCAGTATTATTTTTAATGCAGACTGTCATGAATAGATGTGCTATTTTATTAGTTTTGATCATTTTAAATAGATTTAAGAGGTTTTTTTTTTCATTTTATTAATGATAACAACATATACAAAGTTGTATGTCAAGCAACATACTAGTAATTGCTTATGAGATAGTTTAATCTCAGTGTGTCATTTTCAGGAAATGGAAGTTGGGTTCCACCACCTCATATGAAATCTCAAGAGATGCCAAAAATAAAGAATGAAGCTGAGAAGAACATTTGGTTGTTCAATATCACAGAAGATCCTAATGAACACAACGATGTGTCTGGCACTATGCAACACGTGGTGATGAATATGTTGGAACTACTAGCCCAGTATAACAAGACAGCGGTGCCCTGCCGGTATCCTAACATGGACCCTAGAGCTGATCCCAAATACCACGGAGGGTACTGGGGTCCCTGGGAGTAAATGTTTCACAGAACATCGATATCTGAAACGACAAAACAAAGCCAGCTCTCAACACCATCGAAATTATGTGGATGACTTTTATAAGTACATTTGATTTACAACTAGATTTTATATTGTGAATAAAAAACCTTGAAAAGATATCATGTTATCATTATTAAACTATTACGTCCAGATTTCTAAACAGAAGGTCACAACAAATGACTTCTTAAATAAAAATAAATAATTTAATTTCAATTGTAACACGACATTTGATTGATTAAACGGTTTTATCCATTTTGTATAACATAACTTGCCTATGTCAATGAGTTACGTCAAAAACGTTTTACTCCGCTTGACGTTAACTTATGAAATATATGTTATATTTGGATTGTATCATTGTCTACATTGAAATTAAATTATAAGGAATAAATCTTCGCAGTTTATAAAGCGTAAACTGCCCCAATTAAGTTATGTTATATCGTATAACAAAAGTTGAAATAAGCTTCATTCCTTAAATTATGCAAAAATTGGTCTGTAAATAACGGTTTTAATCAGTAACCAGAAACCCCCACAATCGTTGGAAGACCATACATGTATGTAATATAACTTTCATATCAAATAAATTGAAAATCAACCCTCTATCATCACTACTTTTACTAATCACAAAATAAGTAATTTGCAACAACACTCCCTTCCCTATTTCAACAACTTTCCTCGAAGCGACTGAAAGGACTCCTCTTTGGAGGAAGAAATGCGTGGAGTACGATTTGTTCATATTCAGATGTTGAAGAGAATAGGAATAGTTTCACGAGACCTAATTCATGCCTCAGACTGGATTCCCACACTTGCTTCAATGGTCGGTGGTAATCTTAATGAAACACAACAATTGATTAGGATGGAACAGTAAAAAACCATAAGGTATCATAACCATGCATCCTAATGCTGCTGGACATGACTGTTATACATGGACCATTAATCATACATTTCCATGTTGTCTTTAATCGACTCACAAAAGAAATATAGTTAAAACTAAGTGAACAATAATGAAAATTGCCATATTTTCGAATCTTTTAAACAAATTAAGAATTTTACTTTTTTATATAAATGTATATTTTTGTTGTTTACAAAGAGGGTATACCAAACCACCAAAGAGAGGTCGAACTGCGTAACATTGACCCACCGTATGCTCCTGTCGGGTACAGTAGGCCCAACAGTCCATTTGATAAGAGAATACAAGCAGTAGTTAGGAAGGGGGATTGGAAACTAATAATAGGTTTTCCAGGCAAGATTGATACATGAAATTTATGGAAATAACGAACAGTATTCAAACTTAAAAGTCTATTAAACAATACAACGTAGAAGAGCAGACACGGACTTCTAAGACACCAGAAGTGTAATATGATTGATTGAATGTTGTTTTACGTCCCTCTCGAGAAATTTCACATGGAGACGTACGTTACCATATGCCGGTGAAGGGCTTCAAATTTTGACCTTTACTCGGCACTCGGGGCCATTGAGCAGTGAGGGATCTTTATCGTACCAACGCCTGCCGCTGACACGGGGCCTCGGTTTTTAAGGTCTCATCCGAAGGACCCGCAACTTTCACTTCAAAGTGCCGAGCGCATGGCGAAGAAACAGTTGCTACCCATTTTTTTTATCGATTTACGTCAGTCGCGGCCGAGATTCGAACTCGCGACCTCCCGATCACGGAGCGAGCGCTCTACCGACTGAGCTACCGTGAACGGTCTGAGGTGTAATAAGGTTCCATTGTTTCAAGAACTTGTTTGTCAATAACATACATGTACATTGTTTGATAATTTTTGTATTATAAAGCCATAATTCATTAATCGAGACAATCTGTTGACAAACTGGTTGAGGAAACAAGAATTTCAACAGTGTCACCAGATGTCATCAGTTTGCAAATTATATGGTAGATACAATGACCTTCTCAGCAAGTACAATCTATTATGTGGTCGAATGCCGACTGACTTTTTCGATACAAATTGTTAGACTATTAGTGTATTCCGAATGGACTCTGGATGGTTTACGGATTTTTCTGCTCGTCCGATCATGACAAGGGACATACAGTGTTACCGGTGGACAGGGAAAGCTTGCTCCTCTTTGACTCCTGATCCCACCTCAGATGTTTTAAAGATCCGTATTTGCATTGTTCTGATGGTATTTTTTGAGCTTGAATACTTTTTTAGCTCACCTGAGCCGAAGGCTCAAGTGAGCTTTTCTGATCAAAATTTGTCCTTTGTCTGTCGTTGTCGTTGTCGTCGTTGTCGTAAACTTTTCACATTTTCATCTTCTTCTCAAGAACCACTGGGCAAGTTTCAACCAAACTTGGCACAAAGTATCCTTGGGTGAAGGTTTTTCTTCTCTTCAAGTTTGTTCTAATAAACAGGGCCACGCCCTTTTCCAAGGGGAGATAATCATGAATTTGTTAAAAATTAATGGCATTTTTAAAAAATCTTCTTCTCCAAACCGCTGGGCCAGGAAAGATGAAAATCATGTGGAAGCATCCTTAGGTAGTATATATTCAAGTTTGTTCAAATCATGATTGGGCAAGGGTGGGGCCAAAATGGCCGACCCAAGTTTTACATAGGAATATATAGGAAAAATCTTTAAAATATATTCTTATCCAGAACCACTGGGCCAGGAAAATGAAATTCATGTGGAATCATCCTAGTAGTGTGAGATTCACGTTTGTTAAAATCATGACCCCCGGGGCAAGGGTGGGGCCAAAATTAAAATACAAGTTTTGCATAGGAATATATAGGAAAAATCTTTAAAAATTTTCTTCTCCAGAACCACTGGGCCAGGAAAGATGAAACTCATGTGGAATCATCCTCAGGTAGTGTAGATTTTTAAGTTTATTGAATTTTTAAATACTAGTATTGCTTGATTACATAACTTTCTTTTTCAAGTTTTACATAGGAATATATAGGAAAAATCTTTAAAAATCTTCTTCTCCAGAACCACTGGGCCTTAGGAAAGATGAAACTCATGTGGAATCATCCTAAGGTAGTTTAGATTCACGTTTATTGAAAATCAATAAAATATATGACCCCCTTGGCAATCTTGGGTGGGGCCAAAATGGCCAACCCAAGTTTTACATAAGAATATATAGGAAAAATCTTTAAAAATCTGATCTTCTCCAGAACCACTGGGCCAGGAAAGATGAAACTCATGTGGAATCATCCTCAGGTAGTGTAGATTCAAGTTTGTTAATTATATTGCCGGGGCTAGGGTGGGGCCAAAATGAATCTCTCGATATCAAGTTTTACATAAGGATATATAGGGAAATCTTTTAAAATCTTCTTTTCAAGTACTTCAAAGCTATGATTAATGATATTTATATGGAATCATCCTCAGGTAGTGTAGATTCTAATTTGTTCAAATGATGAATGCCTGGATGAAATTTTCAACATCAACATAATTTTTTTTTATCCAAGAACAATTGGATGCCTCAAGAGAGAATTTTTGGCCCCTGGGCCTCTTGTTGTTTTCTGTTTTGTTTGCTCCATATTTCATATAAAAGAAAAATCCTATTCCATAGTTCCCCGTGAAACAAAACACAATAATCATGGACTCGAGTAGAAAACTTGGGATGGGAATAATGCTTTTGGTATGTGTTAATGGCCAACAGTTAAACGGTAAATCGTAATTTCACAGTGCCTAAAATAATTTCACGATTATTCAATCTAAACGATAAAAAGTAAGGTCCAAAGGTCAAAACATGTCACAATCTAAAACACAGAATCTATAAATAACACAATTGCGAGAAGAGGGCATAAAACGCGACCCCTAAAAATTCCACAGGTGGGATCGGGTACACGGAGAAGTAATCGCCTGTT